AAGGATAGAATCGTAGTTTTTTTTCACATTCTGAGTAGCAGTACATTCAACTAGAAAAAGTAATGGTAGGTGAAATTGGCCTTGAGACTGACCACTATAATATAACACATTCTGTTACTTATGACTGACCCCTAAAGGTCACACATCCTGGTACTTAAGACTGCATGACCCCTAAAGGTCACACATCCTGGTACTCATAACTGCATGACCGCTAAAGGTCACACATCCTTTTACATGTATCTAAATTTATGTCATGAATGCATACTTGGTATTCTTGTAATAACATTAATATTCAAAATCTGTTTCCTGCTTGTAATAATTATTTGATAAATATAACCAAAATGGCAACAAAATGTGTTAGGGTGAATTCCATTCCCGTCACATGCTATATACTGTTTTTGCATCCGATAAAAACAAAGGAAAGTGTTCAAATGTGACATAAGCTGGAATGCATTCAAAGTGAATTATTTATTATATTCCATTTTGAATGAACGCAGTGATGGCTTTGCACAGAATGCTAATTTAAAATTGTATTGTTTTTGGTATGATTAATGATGTCTCTTATGCACCTGTAAATATATAACTCAAATGTCCTGATTATCCATTGTATTGATATGCATCATTAGAGCTGTGTGTCTTGGGGAATAGTTGCAATTTAAAATATGACTATAATAATTTAAATTTAACTTGAAACAAGTGAAGTATTAAATGAGCATGTTACTATGGCGACATTCCAACTCACTCATCTGTATAACCACAATAATATGATATCAATGATGACTACTGTAACAATAAAATGTAATTAAGCTGTTGATTTAATAAAAGGAATGTACGATGTAGGTAACAGGATGTGCTCACTCTTTTTGAAACACCTGTCATCACTTTATGTTTGCCTTAGGACCATATATCTTTCTCTTACTGATTTTACTATGTTGTGTCGGGTAGTTTCGTTTATTCTTGTGGATTGTTTTGTAGATTTTAAATGTATTTGTCAATTATTTTTTCTATTTTCTGTGGCTTTTAAATTTCTTTGATGTCAATGAATTTGGACATCATTAGAATTTGCAGTTATTTCTACTTCAAACGTTATACACTATACGACAGGTACTTTATATTCACCTACATATTGTGATGATTTCATGAAAGTTTGAGAAATTTAATGATTTAAAGATATACTATTGTTTATTTATTTAATTGTTATTATTATAATTGTTATTTTCACAATGTTGCAAGAGAAAACCATGATTGGCATGAGTATGTTAAATCAAACAGCTTCTCTGTATTTTTTATAAATCTTCAACAACAACATTTTTTTTTTAACGGATATCATTTTATGAAAACATTTCCCATGATTGAATTCCAATAATAGCAACAATGTCTATTTATAATAAAAAAAAGACATGCTACTATGGTTTATACAAACATGAACTCAGGGAATTTTATTTCCAGCACTTCATTATATTATATTTCTTCCTCATCAAAAAAAAAAAAACCAACAAAAAACGAGACTGTAATAATTAGCATGTGCAACTGCAGTGCCAATATATGTGTGTTTCACCAGCTGTTTTGTGTTTGCAAAAACAACATGATACTGAGATTGAAATACTTGTCCAGATGGTAATATGGCCTACAGATATCCACTTAATAACTAGAATAGGTAGCTATTTATATATGTATATATTCATTATGAAAATACAGTGTGTAATACAACACCTGTGGTACACACATATTTTGTTGATACACCAATGAATTCAATTTGATATAACAAGTTGTTTTATCAAGAAATAAAAAAATGACAGACAGAGTTTGTTTAGGCTTTGCAAACAAATATGAGAAAAAAAGTGTTTCTAGTAAAATTATTTTCAAAAACATTGGGAGGTGAGGTGATTTTTGACAGGACACAATTTTTACAGGTTTCATCAATTTGTCAACAGAGGACACTGTGTATCAGTAGCGATAAAATAAAAATGAGTGAGTGGTATGCATGCTGACCAGAAACATAACATATATATATATATATATATATATATATACAAGGAAGAATATCATAGGTTGAAAAAACATGTCAACAAAAAAGCTGCTCCCTGATTGGTCGAATTGTTAGTTGCCAATCATGCACAATCTTGTTTAAAGAAGCTTTGCAATAAAAAAAAATAATGTGTGTAATGGTTATCCTCCTGAAAAGTGTATTTATCTAAAAATGTTTTGACATTTTAACTTCAATTTGTGTCCCTTCTTCCTTACCTTGTCCATACGGCTGCGGTGATGGATCCTCACAGAAGCCAAGCAGAGCATGTAAGAAGTCCATGATGTTCTGCAGTGGATGAGTGGCTATCATATAGCGTAAGTACTTGCGAAACTGAGACGAATCTATCTTGAACATCTTGTTCAGACAATTATTGCCTTGCTGTCGCATTCTATCCCCTGTGAAGTGCAAACACATCCATTAGTAGATTGATTTCTAATAACATGATAAAAATAATTGCTTTTATCATTATCTAAAACTGATGATCAAAATCCCATTGGGCAAAGGAGAAAGATTTCAACCGGTTAACACCATTCAATATATAATTCTTGACCTCCTGTACCTTCATAATCACCTAAGTAATTGCACGACAGGATAGTTAATCCTGCCCAGGTGCCATTTGTTCTTATTCAATTTTTTTTCAACAATTTATTCCTTTCTTCAGGAGAAAAACAAATTGATGAGTTCAATGAGTTCAACATTCAGAATACAAAGATTAACCAGGAATAATTGTTATTATTGAAGACTATACCATAAATGAGATCAGCACCAAAAACAGGGCATCTCAAGTGATCAACTGACTATCCTACTCTGTAACCATTAAATTTCAATGTCGGAAGAAATGTGTAAATAAGCTCAAATTGAATACCATGTAATAGATACAACATTCAAAATAATAAACATGCATATGACCTTGAACTATCTAGCATACTTATCTTGTGCAGTAAACGGAAACAAATAAATTCTGCAAAATCCCCCTTGAGATGCTGCAGTTTTAGTCTACATGTCGAATCACCACCTAAATTCCTAGATCTTATAACTTCCTTATACTTAAAACATATGGCTACTACACAAAACCCACTCTCCTGATATTCCCTAATCACTTATTATTATCACAGTCAGTCTCCTGAACTGGTCTATCAATCAAATCCACAGTTTAACCTACAATTGTTTCACTCTAGAAACATTATTGAAGCATGCACTAGCTGTTACTAATAAAACAAAAAAAAAAGCATGTACAAAATCAGCCATGCATCATCACATTTTCATTTCCACTATGTCTAAGAGCATTTATAACAGTCTAGTAACCTGTAAGTTCTAAATCTTGCTATTCCTAGACTTGCTGCACAGTACAGTGTATGTTTCAAATTCAACTGGCATAAATGTGGGGTGAACAAGCAAGATGGTTTCACTACATTAACCTTTTGAACGCCTAATATTTTATGTATTTTTTGTTAATTTTTAATCAAATGGACATAATTTGCAATACATGATTTTCCGTACAATTGCGAGATCTCGCGAGTTGCATGAAAGATGCGCATAGAACGTCTGCCGCAAAAATCAAATGATTTGATTTTGAACTTGAATTTCTTTATTTCGAAGCTCACATCGACCGGCCGATCTTCGACAGAGGAATATTGCATTTGAATACCCTCACTTCATCGAAATTGCCTATCATCAAATGTGTACAGCCCATTATTAAGTATGAAAATGTCCCCCCAAATATTTTTGCGTTTGTCGAATCCCACACCATGTTTGATGCCACTACGACGCTATGACCTTTGTTTGTCCCTGTTTTACATTCGATTTCACGCATAATGCGGGATTCTCGCAGTGAACGGAAAATGGTCTATTGCTTACAGTTTGTAATCAAAATTTTTGAAAAGATTTTATTTAATTTGTGAAAAGTGACAGCACTTTAATTTAATTCCTTGGTGTTCAAAAGGTTACAAACATACTAATACACATTTATTCATAATTCAAAGTTCATTTTTGATGTCCAATCACATCCATATAGTCCATATCTTTTCAAATCAAAGGATTAATTGTTGTTTTTAGTTTAATTTATATTGAAATACATCAAATGCAACAACTACTAAAGTGTGATCCCTCCTCAAAGATGAACTTTTGCAACAATATTTTCGTCTATTACCAGAATCATCTCGCTGATGCCCTAAATGAAGATGAAATGAAGATAAGATGGAAGAAAAATGTAAATCAGTTGTTAAAATTTTATTAAAAAAATGTAAAGAAGAAAATTTCATTCACATAATCATGCAACTGTGACTGTAATTTGTAATTGTTGTCTTAATATTGAAATCTTGCAATGCATTTTGCAATGTTTTTATATACATGTATGGCCATTATTTAAAACTGGGTCACATGATGACACTCAACCAAATGTGGCTTTCAGTCCACAGACGGGCATGAAACATAGTTATATTCTAATGAGTTTGTAGCATTACTGCGGGGTCACACTGCTTTTTGACCTGGATGCTAATATAAGTCAATTTAATCAAAATTAGTATGTGATGATATATTAATTGAATATTCAATCATGAAAATGAAACGATGTTGATTGAATTAAAAAAAAATACTACCCATTTTACTTTTTTGATCATTATCTAGATTAGATGTATAATGACAACTTGTGAACTGCTATTAACAGAGACAGTAGACTTACCTTGTATTCCTCTCAGACCTTCTCCACATCCATGCTGACACCCAAGTACTTTAAAAATTCTGATCAGAGTATCTAAAACTAGATTGTGCATTGTCATTGGTTCACTTTTCATCTCATCCAATCGTTGTTTCGCTTTAGCAGCTTTGTCCACTTGAGGTTCATCTTCCTTTTGTTCACTATTATTATCCTCATTGTCTTTCTTTTCCTCTTTCTTCTCCTTTTTCAGTTCTTTCTTCTCAACAACACTCATGTCCAACAGGTGATCTATGATTCCCAGAGCCACATCACAGATTCTACCGCTTGGTTCTCTGGATATGACCGAGTGCAGGGCTTTCAAAAGTACTGCATGATTTATCTGTCCATTCTGTGAGATGTAGTGTGTAGCACCTGGGGCCTCTGGGATGTCTTCTTCTATAATGGTAGTGTAATTCACCATAGTGTCTGATGCGCTGCGTGATATAGGTTGTGGAGGAGGGGGTACTGCTAGAGTGACCATACCATCTTCTAGTCCATCATCTCCATTACTCTCATCGCTGGAAGATTCACGTTTTCTGGAGACTGGTTCATTAGAAGGAGTTCTACTACATTCAACTCCTGGCACAGTCAATTCAATTTCAGGAAGATCTGTGTTTACCGACAAACCATTGTGAGATGTTGGTATGGGCGGACGAAGTTCTGATACAATGTTTAAAGTCGCTGCACTGGCAGTGAGACCAATATTGGAAGCTTCAGAGGTTTGGTCTACCACCTTTTCAAAATGACGACCTTCTGGCAAAGAAGAGTCTTTTGGAATTAGGAATCTATCATCCACCTCCATCAAGGACGGCAAATTCTTCAGCCTCACTACATCTATTGTAAACTTGAACGGTTCAACTTTGGGAGGAGTAAAACTACCGGCCCCTTCAATGAATCTCCCAAGAGTTGACAGAGGAGAACTAGATCTTCTGGTACATTGTTCAGGTTTTTCCTTCAGAAGCTCTTCAGTACTAGCACTAAGAGAAGTACTGCTTTCTTCAGACTCCTCATTAATAGACTGAGGTAAGGTGACTGCAGTTACTTTAGACAAACTTGACTGTCTTCTCACCGGTTGACGCCTTTTCCCACTACCTCTTCTTTCTAAGCTTCCTCTTCTTTCCAAACTACCTTTTCTCTCTAAACTACTTTTTCGTTGCAGAGTTCCTGGTGTATCAGGATGATCAACTTTTATCTTCTTGGGTGAGCTTGATCCACCTTGCTCATCACAACTTTGTGTTTGTTTCTCCCTTTCGTACCCAGAGTTGGAGAAAGTGGAAGCGGGTGCTGACATCTGCTTAGAGGCAGGAGCCTTGAAAAAAGATACCTCTATTCTTGGAATTGGTGAAGAATTACTCCGTTGACGGAAGCGCTCTAGTTTTAAAGCCTCTTGTACAATTTGCTTCAGCCTATTCTGTATATAACAAAGTGCCCAGTGGATGCCATCCTCACACCAGTGTTGATTAAAGAGACATCTCAAAACAGCCACATCAAAGTATGATGCTAAGTATACATCACTTTTCTTGGAAATCATTTTGGGTGATGGTTCTGTAGTTGGAACAGAAGGTGATGGACTTCTTGATTCACTAAAATCAGTCCGGGAATCTGGAGGCTGGAGAGCTTGCCCAGATGGTGAAATGCCTTCCTCCATTGAACTTCTTTTTAGAAGACCACACTGACATGACTTTATTTCACTTGTTTGACTGCTGACAGTTGTATTACAAACTTCACATATAAATTCCACTGTTACTGATGGGGGATCTGATGAGACCTCGCTACTGTAATGCTCACATACATCAGACAATGTGACTAATGGTGCAACAGGCTCGCTACTCACTTCACTACTCAGCTCTTGCTGGACTTGGCTGCTACTTCTACTACTTGATGCAGATTTCCCAGAATGCATTGAGTGCACTGATGGTGCAGGTTTCACAGTCCCACTGCCCTGCTTGTGCTGATCATTTGTATGATGTTGTGATTCTTGTTGCTGATCACCTTGCTGTTGATTCTGTTGCAGTTCAGTAGTTTCGCTCTTTTTTCCAATGTTGTTACTGATAGGCCGGACGACATGTAACATGCGATGTTTTGGCTTCACATGTGAGGAGAAGAACACATTGTCTGGACACTTATATTCCCACAAAGCTTTCCATAGACGTATACCACTCTCCAACCTGAATGTTAAATCAGATTCTCTGACACTGAAAGCAAGCGGCGCAAATAAATACACAAACAGTTGTATAGAAGCGAGTGGGGGTTCGTACCAACCAAAGTCTAATTCTCCTCTCTCATCTTGGAAGCATGCATGTGGTCCCTCTAATAAAACCCAGTGAAGCGTATAGAGCATCTTTGTTTCTCCAACACCAAGTTTATCGACGTGTCCCAGTTTGACTCTGTTGGAAAGCAGGGCAGCACAGCAGTGCATAAGATGAGGCAAAGATGCGGTGAGAAGTTTATGGCGAGGTATGCTAGCAATGGCATCGCTGAGACTTGGAGACAGTCCATGGAGTTTGTTGTCGACAAGAACTCTTTCAAATGACTGTTGAGGAAAAAGGAAAGTAATTGAATATAAGTAGAATGAAAAAATGAAAGTCAAATGTGTAATGGAGCTCTAGAGGGGGCAAGTTTTAAAATATGTTTATCTACATTGAGTTGCATCAGGAAAATCCCAGTAATGGAAATTTCGTCTAAATCTGTATCAATGCCTGTCTAATCACTATTTGCTATTATTATTAAAATTAGTCTTTATGCATGGGTCTAAATGTCTTAATTCAGTTTTATCTTCTCACAACGAAACCTTAAACATATAAGATCCTATTATAACAATTTCAAAATGCTTCATATGCTAATGAGTATGATAATCATCAGAAATACCTTTTTTTTTCGCATTGAGCGCCAAATTCATCTTTCACAAAATGAAACCGACTTAATTTATGTCATATTATTTCCAAAATTGATCAAAATCACTGCCGATAGAATATGTTCATTAGGTTTGAAATTATCACCAAAATTATAGAAAAATAAAAACATTATGGTGTTACAAGTGCTCAGGTTCTTAAACTTTAAAAGTGCTTACAAGATGAAATTACATAGACAGCCGCATCACCTACGAAATGGCCGTAGGTGCAAATGGAGTACCAAATATACAAAGTATGAGTGCCATAAGTTGACAGTCTAGAAATGGCATAAAAGTAATATGAAGCTTGACATTTAAAGGTAAAAGGTTGCACCCACACATCTGTGTGTCCCAAAACAGTGTAATTTACATTTTTAAAAAGATAAATACATGTATATAACTTGAATGCTTTTGTGTGGTATTAAAATATTACATCAAATAATTATTGATAGTCATCGTAATTTATACTATGAATAAAATAATGTAATCTATAATATATAATATTAAGTGTGTACCTCACACATGTATAAATTAGACAATCATTTACAATAGCTTGTCATAGCTCACAAAAGTAAGTATTATTGGCAGTATTGTGAAAAAAAAGTTCAAAATATCATGTTTTAAATATTAATATAAATATGATTCATCTAACAATTGGCAGCTATTACACTTGATTAAATGGCTATATATTGTGCTTTCTGCAACATTACTTCTGAAAGATTGGATTAGACTATTATACAAAAACTAAAATGTCAACAATAATTGAACAGGAAACGATAAACATTAACTCAGTACAAGAACCACTAGCTACTATACATCATTATTAGAACAGTGTGTTTCATCTTTGCCAGCCAATGTTCATTTATTTGGCCATCACATTGCCATTACAGTGTATACATTGGCAGATTCTGTTCAGGCAACAAAGTGCACCTTCTTTTGCAATTTGACATTTGAGAATTTTGTTTTATGTGCATTGCCAAGAGCTATGCCATCACTGATTAGGTACATATTTAACAGGCACATCCAATCAGATTTATCTATTTTATTAAGCACATGACCTTTCACATACAGATTTATTGAGGGGAATGTTTGCATCAATTATCAAACCAATGGCCATTGACAACAATGGCCGTGATCAGACTATGCATCATATACGTGTAGATCGATCTCAAAATATTGTAATATTGAAATTTATCTTACTTAGATATAGATGTTTTTAATTATACATCAAAATTATAGGGCAGGTCATCGCACCACGTCCTGTTCAATCTGAGACACGGGTAGTAAAATACAATGTTTGTTTACATAAAATTAGAACATGTACTGCATGATGACTATGGCCTTTAATAATTCAAAATCCAACGCTTTTCTGAATAAAACTCAAGGTAATAAACACAGGATTATTTTGAGACTGCAGGAATATTTCTGAATGGATTACAAGTTAAAGCGAGAGAGGTGTCACCTGCGCATGCGTCAGATGGGCATAGTGTGTCATTGTTTACAAACAAGCATCTACCCATGAGCCTTTGCGTTTTAGTGTTCTCATCGCTTGGAACTCATTTCCTGCACGTACTCAGAACGATCCTCCTGTTTTAATTATAATCACTATCAATGCAAATATGATTGATAATGCATACATGTATCATTAAATTAGCAATAAAATATATTATTAGTGATATATATTGCAACCCTAAAACTAATGTTTCTGTAACATTATTCGACACAACAATACAAATGTTCAAGAAAGAGATTTTACAGCGATATTAAATTGGCACTCAAAGAGGATTGCAAATTTGTGTTTATTGCAAGGACGCAGATGCACACTATCAACTGAAGATGTGCGAGATTTCATACATTCATTCACAGATTATGTCCCATCCAAGATATATCAATCAACGCTATCAGTATTTAAATGTGGTTTAGCCAACGCCATACTTGATGACATTTACAATGATACTATCAGCTATTGAGAAATGTTCACATGCTGTTTTTATATTAATCTATCCATTCCAGATCAGCAGTTGTATCTAAACTTTACATATGTAACATAATTTGTATGAGTATAGTATGTACATGCACTACTACTGAAGAAAATATATGTGTGAGATATCGGATATTCATGTCAACAAAAATTTAGGTGTCCATTACGAATAACGGCAGCCAGGTCGCAAAATTATAATTGAGTTCATTTCTTGTAACTATTATATACAATCATGTAATTCGCATAAATTTTGTTAAACAACTATTGCAATGACGACTAATTTTGTTTGGTAGCAGATAGAAACTGAACACTTTTATAAATTTATCCACTATGCAATCATACTGAATGTTATGTTGTCCATGACACTGATAAATCTATCCTAAATCGCAACAATGCAATACTGAAGTGTTACACAATTGGTACTGGACGGCAATACCAGCTGTGAGTATACGCAGCAGACTATAGCTTTAGAATTAAATTCAGTTATGACATTTTTTGCCAGTCATATATTTTCCCAATATAATGTGAAAAAAACTTTAAAAGAATATTACTGGTAGGTATCTTTCCAATTTTTATACACTGGTCATAAAACTCAAACATGTCATGATCAGAATACAAGCATAAGGCGATAAGCCCCCCCCCCCCCAATTATTATTATTAGAAATTTCTTATTTTTTTTAGCAAAACCATATATTTGAAAATATGTTCAATCAACAATAAACTGAAATGATTGAACGCACATAAATAAAGAAATGATGTTTAACATTTAATGGTTAACATTAATTTTTTATATTTTAATGTTTTCTTGTTCCTAAAAAGTAGGTAATGAATAATTATTAAAAAATTAAAATTCAAAACTAATCAGACAAAATCAAAAACAAAATTCCAATTTCCTTTAAGCTAGCAATTATTAGCAATATTAACATTGTGGGGGGGGTAGGATTTATTGCTTGGTTTTGTATGCGTGCACAGTGGTTGGCAAGAACTTATTAATTCATAGCCGAGCATATTTTAATGTTATTAAATGTGTACATGCATATCCTCCAGTTAATAATTAAAACACCTTATGGGTATCAGTTGGGAAAAAGCGTAAACAAACGACATCGCAGGGAGTCTCAGTGACCTTTATGAAATTTAAAACCAAGGAGAGCCAAAATTTGACGGTTGTTCTGCTGCAAATGGTTTGTGAAATATGGCTGAGTATGAAAAGTTAATGCTTAATTGCTTAGTGGTATATATTGATGAGGACAAACATGTCTGACATGGCGGAAGTATTTATAAATAATTCGTTTTTAAAAGCTTCAACCTGTCACTGAAATTAATGGCTTACATAAAAGTATGATGTAACACTGACACAGTTGTCAAAGGCTGTGTTTTTGTTATTTAATGGTCTATAAGTGGGTTTGCAATATATCACGTACATTATATTTGCAGTCTACAACTTAAATACAGGCTTTATAACAGAGTTTTTAAAACATTTAAAAGTACCAGTATGTTTCTATTAAAGTGTTATCATGAAAAGGAAAACAATTGAGGTATTTGCTTTACAAGAATCATTTATGTAAAACGGCCTCATTTGCATAACATGCTGTTCAGGGCTTCTATTTTGAGATACATGTACACTTATACATAGTACCATGCAATATGGAAACCGTACCCGATTCTAATTTATATTTGAAGAATCGGTGCTGACAAGTACAGTAGCAGATGGTGTTCTTTTCTTAATTGCAACATAAATCACAATTCAAATCCCACGACGACACATTTCACTTTTCCAGGTATTGAAGCAAGGTGTGCCTATAGAGGGCGCTGTTTCTCCGAGCAATCTCTAAAAAACTTCCCAATGTACAAAAATCATAATTTTTGTTCACTTCACTTTACTTTAGAAAAAGTGACATTTCCAGACCTTAAAACTCACCAGCATACAGGCATTTTTTTAAAAAATATTACAATCGAGTAAAGTATTCGGATAAACAGCCTAGGTCACTGAAGGTCAATCTATTTCAGGAAAGTACTATGATTGTACAGTCAATCAATATAACCTTGTATATTCATGAACACACAGTATCTTGCTTGTAAATGCACAGTGCTACATGTACATACAGTATACTTCTACATACAAATTATGACCAACAGATATGAACACAAAGAAAATCTTTGAAAATTTTGAGTATCATGCTCTTGGTTATGAGTAATATATGGTGTTGAATGTATGTATGGTGTCATAGCTGTGAGGCTGGTCCCAAGATGTTTCAAATAATTAGTATGGTGAGATGCATTTTTTTTTGCAAAAACAAAAAAATATGTGCATATTTCAAACTAATGTATGTATGTGCTGATGAGAAGCAAGTCTTTTTGCCTAATTTATCAGTATTAGAAACAAATAAAAAAAATGTCAGATTAAAAAACATGATTTTTTCAGTTTGAGGAAAGGATGCAGTGTATTGGTGTCTCCACCTGATTCAAAATACCTTCAACACAATCTGCACATAAAACTATAAGGTAATCATGTAGTATTATATGATTATATTGGTGAAATGTGAATGAAAAAAAAATGATTCTATCTGACAGAAGTGAATTTTCACACTGATTAAATGATAAACCGATAATAAAATATGTTTATTATGATCAAAAAATAGTTTAGCACCATTCCTGAAAATTA